GGATTACAGGCGCACCCCACTAATTTTTGAATTTTTAATAGAGGCAGGGTTTCACTATGTTGGCCAGGCTGGTCTGGAACTCCTGACCTCAGGTGTTCTCCCTGCCTCAGCCTACCCAAAGTGCTGGGATTACAGGCGTGAGCCACCGCATCACCGACAGCGTCTCTTAGAGCACTTTCCCCAAGCTTGAATATGCTAAATTACAATTTGATATTTGCTTATCTGAGAGTGAAAAAGGGTGTCACCTTGAGTTTCTTTGATACCTACATGTTTATTGGACAGAATTATAGAATCTTCATAATCTCGAAATATTATCTAAAATCAGCCCTCTCCATTTTTCAATGAGGAAACAGACCCAGAGTTTCAGCAATGTGTGCAGTAGTCTTGTCACAGCCAGCTGACATGGACTTCTGTTCTGCCTGGGCAGAGCGCGCGTTTTCTTCCCAAGGAAGCAACGTCATAAGCGGTGCTGGGATTAACGGGCATGTCTCCGCCCCCGAGATCTGCTATATCATGTGGCGCACATATTCCGGCAGTAAACTACTGTTTTTAATAGCAGTAGGAATTTTTCCTTAGGCTCCAAATGAACTTAACTGAACTCTTAGAACACAGACTGTTAGGAGATTAGTCTGCCTCTGTCTAGATGAATTCTGGCTCTTCCCTTCTGTAGTTTACTGGTCATTTAAAATCCATTCCTGTTCTGAAAAAAAAAATCCCTCAGATGTTGACCCTCCCCCCATTATTAACAAGCTTTAAACAAATTGTGGTAAAATATACATACCATAACATTTACCATTTTAATCATTTTTAAGTGTTCAGTTCTGTGGCATTAAGTACATTCACATTGTTGTGCAACTATCATCGCCATCCTTCTCCAGAACTTTTTAGGTTTTCAAAATGAAACTTGGTGTCCAAACTGAACTCCTCATTCGTAACTCCACAGGCTCCAGGCTTCCCACGTGTGAAACAAGTGTCATGTCTACTTGCTAGGATTGTTGTAAGACAGTGAATCAGAGGGTTTTTGTATAAAGCAGGATGCTTGGCTCGAATGTTATTTTCCTTCTTTTGCTTGAGTTTGTCAGACATAAAACTTTCTATGTTTTATTTATTAAGAGTATTATTTAAGAAACTAAGAAAATGTTTTCTGATATCAAGATTCAAATTTCCTCGAAAATGAAAATTCCCTACATATCTGTACTGTGACGCACTGAGAACACATTACTTCTGTGGCATTTCTGCCAAAAGTGCGCAATCTCGTTCCATGAGGAAACATCAGAAAAACTCAAAATCTGAGACATGTTATAAAATAACTGGCCCATGCTCTTCAAAATGCCAAATTCATAAAGACCAAGGAAGGCTAAGGAGCTGTTCCTAATTAAAGATGACTGAATACGATGCATTTACCTGGAGTGGATCCTGAACCAGAAATGTTTTCTCCTTTGTTAAAAGACATCACTGGGACAATCGGTGAAATCTGAGTAAAGTCTGTAGACTAGTAATTTAGACAATTAGATAACAGTATTGTATTCATTTTAATGAGTTTGAAAATTGTATCATGTTGTTAGAAAATGCAGTTAAAGTATTTAGGAGTAAGGGGACATTCCTACACCGTATTCTCAAATAACAAGAAAAGGCTGTGTGGTGCGGTGGGGCATGGATGATGAAGCAAATGTGGTAAAAAGTTAGTGTGTGGGGAGTCTTGAAGGGCAGATGGAAATTCTTTGTATAATTCTTAAAACTCTTCTGTAATTCTGAATTTATTTAAATAAAAAAAAAACCCTCCATAATTCCATATCCCACCTTACTCTTCCATATACGTATTATTTCACTTAATAGCTATCTTTTCATGTCACATATAAAGATCTATTTTATCCTTTTTAAAGACTACATAGTCTTGCTACGGAAAAAGGGGGGAAACATGGGTTTGTGCAAGTCAACTATAGTTTCTTCGTTTCCACAGAATCCCTGAAGTGAGGGGAAAATAAATACCCAAATGCTTCCGAAAATCAGCAGCTCTGCTCCCGGAAGCTTTGCAGAAGCAAAAGCAGACTGTGCTCACTACACAGCAGATCTGAAGTAATCACCAGAAAAGGGGCAAAATTAAGCCTTTCTGTAAGTTTCTCCCTCCAACATGGTTGCAGACAGACCATCTCAATGTCTTGAATGTGTAACTTCTAGGTGAACAGTTCTGCGTGAGTCATCACCTGCTCAGCCCACCCAGGCTAAGTGACTCTCTGCTGGACTATTGTTTTGTTTTGTTTGTAATAGGCCCTGTAGGATAGCTTTACAAAGCCACATGTTTTGGTTAAAACTTGTAGCCAGAATCCTAAATGGAATGGAATTAGCAGTCAAGAAGCAGAGTTTGGAAAAATGGCTCCCTTGACATTTCACTGTTCACTATTCTAGCCTTCCTTAGCCTGTTTAATTTTCCTTGAAATGTGATTCACGAGTTGTTTCTGTTTAACATAAACAGGTTAAATGATTAAACAACGGCTTTAAGCGGCAAGTACCCACCCTGCTAGTGCCAAGCGTAAGACACAACCCCTCCCTGTGTCCAGGTGGAGTGCGGCGGCCACCACACTGCCGCATCACTCAGCAGCCACGCAACACTCCACCAGCCCACGACTTCCGTCCGTGTTAGGGGACTTCCGAGAGCAGCCATGCCCGCCAGAAACTGGCATTACACATCACAACAGAGTCTTCTTCAAATTTCACCGTGGCAGCCTACTGACCTGACCGTGGAGCTAGGAACTGACTTCAATCCATTGAGCAGTCGAAATCGGTAATGCGAAATCAAAAACCATAATTATATCCCTAATCCAAAATTATATCTCTAATCTACAACTTCAAAACAAAACTTTACCAGTTCAACACCCTCCTGTGTAATTTCTTTTTAAGAGTGCTCTTCAGTTACCAATAAGCAATTCATTGTTAATTGTAAAATCATTTCCTGAACCAAGGCGTAAAGGAAAAAGGAAGATCCTTCTCATCATCTAAGGTAATATGAATTGCACATAAATTAGTAAAACATTCCCAGGACTGATAACACAAAAAGCAGTAGCCAGTAGAAAGTAGCATTTTCTGGACCAGGCATGGTGGCCCACTCCTGTAATCCCAGCACTTTGGAAGGCCAAGGCGGGCGGAACCTGAGGTTAGGAGTTCAAGACCAGCCTGACCAATATGGAGAAACCCCGTCTCTACTAAAAATACAAAATTAGCCAGGCGTGGTGGTGGGCGCCTGTAATCCCAGCTACTCAGGAGGCTGAGGCAGGAGAATTGCTTGAACCTGGGAGCGGACGTTGCAGTGAGCAGAGATTGCGCCATTGCACTTCAGCCTAGGCGACAAGGGTGAAACTCTGTCTCAGAAAAAAAAAAAAAAAGAAAGTAGCATTTTCTAAAAACCTTTCTGGTTCCCCACCCGCCCTGCCGAGGACTGCAGCACGTACTTTTCATCTGGAAACTTCTCAGCTGTGAAGTCCGCCTGCCTCTCGGTCTCATAGGGTCGGTACTCCCTGTAGGGTCTCCGCTCAGCTCTTTCAAGCATCCCCTCTGGCCCACGGCTGTCATTCCATCCTTGCTGCTCCCCTCTTCTAGGAGTCCGCTTCTGACCTACCGACAGAAAATCAAAGCACAGTTGGAACGCAGCATCTGCCACAGCACAGTATTCAACTTTACAGTACTTGTAAATTTCATTTTTCTAGAAATCAACGTCATAGGAAAATTCAGGAAGTTTAGAAAACCTCAAAGAAAAAAGTTGCTGATGCTACAACTGCCCACAGTCTACGACTTTTTAATAGAATGTTACTATTAAAGCATGCTTTCCCTATATCCTAGAAAGTATATGACAAACTAAGCTCACCTATAATTACGGGCACCTCCCAGTAACTGTGACAGCCATGGGTATATTTTACTAAATAAGCTACAGTTGACAAAAGCAGTCTTACAAAAACACAGTGCGTGAGCCCTATCGAGAAAACGAAAGAATACCCTGTATTTCAGACTATGCTTTCAGAATCCCCACTGCACATTACATGGCAACTATGGCTTATCACTGGCTACTAAGGTTTTTGTTTTTATTTTCTATTTTATTTATTTATTTATTTACATACTTAAAATAAGTCTCGCTCTGTCACCCAGCCCGGAGTGCAGTGCAGTGTGCAATCTTGGCTCACTGCAACCTCCGCCTCCTGGGCTCAAGCAATTCTCGTGCCTCAGCCTCCCAAGATGCTGGGATTACAGGTCAGGAGATTGAGACCACCCTGGCTAATGTGGTGAAACCCTGTCTCTACTAAAAATACAAAAAATTAGCTGGGCATGGTGGCAGGTGCCTGTAGTCCCAGCTACTCAGGAGGCTGAGGCAGAAGAATGGCTGAACTCGGGAGGTGGAGCCTGCAGTAAGCCCAGATCGTGCCACTGCACTCCAGCCTGGGGGACAGAGCGAGGCTCCATTCAAAAAAATAAAAATAAAAAAGAGTTCAGAACTGGAAAAGGCGTTCACAACGTAAGGTAGAAAAAGCCACTATGAAAGTTAATTATCTAACAAGTTGAAAATTACAATAGATCATGACATAACAGTCATCAGAAAATTTGTCAACAGTAACAAAACTTTTCCATACTTTTATGTCAGTGTAAAAAGAGTTAACACAGTTTCCGATTTCCTATTTCCAACCCATAGTTTTAAAAACATCTTTTACTATCTCCACTCAACTACAGAACTACTTATAGGTGCTTATCCCACCTTTCTGCTTCCTCCAAGTTACTTTTCAATTGTGTCAATTAAATTTGGAATTCATCAAACTTAAAATAGGACATTTACTGTACACCATATTAAAGCCTTTTTGAACAGTATAAACTGAAAACTGTTAAATACAATGGGCTACTTATTAGAATAATTATCAATATCAAGCAAACATTTCATTTTCCCTCCCAAACCCCCCAAAACAAAGATAATTAGAATAATTATCAGTTTTGGGCAAACATCTCCATTCTCCCTCCCAACCCTCCCAAAACAAAGATAATCAGCATCCAATTTTTTCCCCACAATTTAGTACTAAAAGATCAACACTGCCACGAATCGGGCTTTTCGGTGCTGGATCAGCAGCTCCAAGTGGAGAATGCAAGCACTGCATTTCACTAACCTCGCCAAGAAAAGGCTGGCACATGCATTCATCACCATCTAAACCAAGCCCAGGTAAAGAAATAGAATACAATAAAATTTACAGTAAGATTTCCCACAAAATAAAGCTGAGCTGTTTCAAAGCACATAATTCTGAAAGGCTAGAAAAACCAAAACTGAAACAGCCTCTCACGACTTTAAGAATGAACTTATTGAGCAAGGCTCTCCCAAGGGTCTATATACATTGCTAGACAGATAGTTAGACATTAAAAAATCTACATTTTTGGTCAGGCATCGTGGCTCACACCTGCACTTTGGGAGGCTGAGACAGACGGATCACCTGAAGTCAGGAGATTAAGACCAGCCTGGACAACATGGTGAAACCCCATCTCTACTAAAAATACAAAAAATTAGGCCAGGCACCGTGGCTCACATCTGTTAATCCCAGCACTTTGGGAGGCCAAGGCAGGCAGACCATAAGGTCAAGAGATCGAGACTATCCTGGCCAACATGGTGAACCCCTGCCACTAGTAAAAAATATACAAAAATTAGCTGGGCATGGTGGCGCGCGCCTGCAGTCCCAGCTGCTCAGGAGGCTGAGGCAGGAGAATCGCTTGAACCCAGAAGGTAGTTGTAGTGAGCCAAGATCATGCCACTCACTCCAGCCTGGGCGACAGAGCAAGACTCTGTCTCAAAAAAACAAAACAAAACAAACAAAAAAAACCCAACCCTTTTCCATAGGAAAAGCTTGTGACTTCCACATTCTTTCAGGATTAACATTTCTATGATATGTCAAACATGTTTTATTTTTGTCTATGCTAAGCATTCACTTACAACATTCTAACTAAATCAAAAATTTTGAATGTTAGAAAAGTACAGTGCTTCATATCAACTAGGGCTATAAAACCTTGAGAGAATAGCTCTTTGACACCCATTATAGATAAATTTAGTACAGTAACTACATAAATGGAAATTAATGAGCTGTTTGCTCCTGAAATAACACATACTTGAAAAAGAACTTGAATGATAAAATTTCCATTCTAACTACAAAATCAACTAAATACCTTTAGTTGATTTCAAAAGCCAGATCACTTAGACTGAACAACTGACAGAAAAAAAAAGTTATGAGTGTACTACATGACAACATTAAGTGCAGGAAACAGGTTGCAACCCAGTTTATATCACTTAAGTTTAGAAAGAAAAGAAATAGTTCTGTGCATTTATGTATATAAATGAAAAGTGTTAACAGTAGGAAAAATAAGAGGATTTTCACTTAACCTCATACATTTTGGAATTGCTTAAAATTTTTAACACAAAAATGCATGACAATTTTTAAAAAGCTAAAAATCAATGTATTAACAGCACTAACTCGTCTCACGTTTTTCTGAAGAACAGAATACGTATTTTCTTTTTTTTTTCTTTTTTGGAGACGGAGTCTCCCTCTATCGCCAGGCTGGAGTGCAGTGGCGCGATCTCGGCTCACTGCAAGCTCCGCCTCCCAGGTTCAAGCCATTCTCCTGCCTCAGCCTCCCGAGTAGCTGGTACTACAGGTGCCCGCCACCGCGCCCGGCTAATTTTTTGTATTTTTAATAGAAACGGGGTTTCACCGTGTTAGCCAGGATAGTCTCGATCTCCTGACCTCGCGGTCCGCCCATCTTGGCCTCCCAAAGTGCTGGGATTACAGGCGTGAGCCACCGCGCCCAGCATTTTCATTTGTGAAAAAATAAAGGGTGAAGAAAAGCTTAGCCTTCCTCAATTCTTTTATTATATTCATGTAAATAAATTTAAGAGAAAAACATAAAAAACAGGATATAAAATGCACAATGTATCTCCAGTCTGTTTAGATAATCTGCTCAGAAATTTACTGGCCTATCAAAGGCTCGTGAGATAGTCAATAACTTTTTTTTTTTTTTAATCATTTTCAACATCTTTATTGTAGTGACTTGATTCTCACAAGTGATGACTCTGGATTTAACTTTTCACAAACAAAGGTAAACATTACCCAGCTGCGCATCAAAGCCCCAATACTGAAACCTGAGACGTTTCCTCAGGGCTGCGATGCACAATTTTTATCAAGCAAGGAACAAACCAGCAAGCCACGCTGCACACTCCGCCAAGCGTTGGCAGGAATGGTCAATCCACACATCTCACTCCTAACGCTCTGCAAACCTTGGGACCGCTGCCTCATTTCAAGAAAACAGAGGAAACACAGGTGGAGCGTTGCTGGCTCTGCCACTGACGCAGTTCAGGTGAGAGCACGAACTCCCTCCCCGTCCGCAGGCAGCAGGACACCACGCTGCGCACTGGCTTTTCCTGCTAAACAGGGAGTGGGGAACTCCGAATATTCTGGCTGGAAAGGTTAAAAACGCTTTTCTTAAAGCAGCCTG